TTCAAATTACTGAGAGGAAGAAGCTACTCTTAACAAATTAGACTAAATGATATTTGGCACCTATACCAAAATAAAACTTGTTTATGAATGTTACAGCACACTCATCCAAACAGACAACAGTTTTTAAGAAGGGAATCATGTTTCAGTAGATCTATAAATAAATTAATTAAAATTGGTTCTTGAAAAAAATATTTTCTTAGACTTCATAAGAGAGATACTTTGTAGTTTTCATATAATTTAAATTAACAGAATTGTATTTATTTAGTAAAACATTGTGGTGATTACTGTATTTTTGAATGTCTGCATCTAATTGTTGTAATTGCATCAACAGTTCAGATCACTAATTAGGTGACTGTGGTGTCAGGGATAACAAACCAGTCATGAGCCTCTGTGTGCAGGCCAAAGGGGCAGGACCTGGCTGTTAAATCCTTCCCTATGGATTGATCAGCTCAGTCACTGCTCTCAGAAGGATCTTTCTGCTCAGACACAGCTTCTGTATGGAGGCACTGGTGACACCTCACCTGCTGAGAGGGAGGCTGGACCAACAACAATTAACTCTAAAATGAAGGTTTGTCAATCCTCTTACAGATAAGTCTTGCAAACAGTCCTCTAAATTAAACAATTTTTAAATAGTCAGATTCACTACCTAAATTATATTTTATGGAGATCAATTACTTTTAAACTGTTAGAAATCTGTGTAATAGATTACCATGTGGGTTGCTTGTTAACCCCTTTTTGTGAACAAACAGTAATTGATAGTTTATTAAATGACACAGTTGTGGTTCTTGTGAATATACAGAGACTTTGCACATGTGTGCAATGTCCTTGTTACTGTGTTGATTTTCTAAATGCTGCCTGTGTGCTGATGTTTAGATTTGATATGAAGGTATTTCTTGGAATGTCATTAATGATGTATTTTAAGCTTTTGTAAACATGATAAAAAATATATAGATAAGAGAGGAGTCTGTAAGAGAGGGCTTGTGCATCCCTTTCACCAGGGATCAGGCATGGCTGACCTGCTTTAGCTGATGGTTACAGCAGTACATGATTTCCTAGGCTGCCTCCCTAGTACAGAAAAAGTAATGGAATTTACTGTCAAGGGATATGTGTCTTAAGAGATATTTTTCTGTGGTTCTTTGGAATGAGCTTCCCAACCTTATTTCCTTAGCATTGTCTAGACCTTCCTGGAGAATGATCAACTGGCTAAACATTAGAATTCACAATCTTTCTTGGCTGAGATGCATTTCAAAAAAAAAAAAAAAAAAAGGCAGCTCAACTGCTAGTTGGACATGATAGAAATGTGAAAAAATTTTGGACAAAGTAAGTACCTTGTAATAGTAGTATTAGAATCCTTGGATTGACAGGTTTAGAATTTTCATTTCTTAATTAGAAGCACTCATTAAATAAGCCACAAATCCCACCTGTAATTACTTCAAATTGCAGATTTACAGCCTTGGTAATAACTCAAGGCAGATGGAAAAAAAAGCATTATGGAGCAAGAGGTATTTTTCCCTTAGCAGAGATAGATTTCCAGCTAGGGATGCTGTAAAACAGACAGGGTTTGGACATTTTCTTAGGAGACTGAAACCTTCCTCTCACATATACAAAAATTCTGTTTAGAAAGTACTACCCCTGTGGATTTTAACACTGTTGGGCTGTTAAGGGGGAAATTATACAATGAAAAAGCAGCAGACAATACAAAGACTCCAAATTCTTCCACTTACAGCTAGAATATTGTGCCTAATAGGATTAGAGTTACCAGTGAAAGTTGCAGGTCTCTGCTCTAATTAGCATTCTTGGAAATGAATGTATAGGTATGATCAAATAAGTGACCTTCTGTCTGTGGATAAAAGATGGATGTTACTGGTACCATTTCTGATGGATGCAGTAGGGCCCAGGACAGTGAGGTCCAGCTTGCCTTATTTTCTTCCCATGTGAAAGGCATTACAAGAAGCAGTTTGTATTAGTAGGAAGATGGATCAGGTAACCTAAGCTATCTTAATTTTGGTGCTGTGATGCTGCCCTGGGAATCAACTGGGGAGCTGCTGCAGCAAAATGAGCATTTTCTCACCCTGACATCGAGGGGGACATTCAGTAAGATGTGCCACATCCATCTTCTTAAAATGTTGTCTGCTTGCTAATGTTAGTTGTAAGTGCACAGCTTCATAAATTACAGCCTTAGTAATGATGGATTTAGGGACAGAACTTCCAGAAAGGAGGTGCTTTTTAGGTATTCAAGGCCAGATAATGTGCCTTACCTACCAGTGGGCTTGCCAGGAGAGTTCATGCAACTGACTCAGGACTTTTATTTCTGAAGAATATAAAGTTAATGTCATCATTTTCTTCTAAATTATTCTAAAGCCTCTCCTGACTAGGGTGATAAATTGGAAAATTACAGTATTTACTGGAAGGGGAGTAAGAGAAGGTTCAGCAAGTACAGGACAGAGTGTACACTGACTGGGTGAATCCAGTGCATTACAAATTGTGCAGAAAGCAGAGGCATTTTAGGACAACCTGTCTTTGCAAGTAAAATTAATGTGTAGGAATGGCATATTGTGCAATCATTGGGATACTTCTTGACAGAAGTTATAAGGGCCTTGGCACCTAATACAAGAGTACCAGTTGAGATGTCTGCCTACCTGCTGGACTGAGTTGCAGATGAATTTTTTTTAATGAAATTCCCTCAAAATGGTAGTTGGTCAGTTTGACCTCCAAAAACAAAGGACTCTAGTTAGATTCTCCTTTCCATACCGACTTTAACTAAGCTATGAAAGAAAGGGTTTACTCTGTAGACTTGAAAAAAGAGCTGACCTAATCCTTCCTTTAGCTGAACAGCCTGAAGTTTTAACAAATTTCAGTCTTTGCCTTCTGGTGATGGCTGGTAATGAGGATGAAGCACCCGTTAATAATTTTTCAAGCTCTTTGAAGAATTATTAGGCTATCTAGCATTTTAAGGTATCTCAAATAATGCAATGCTGTTACTTGCTGGTTTCTCAGTTAAGAAAGTGGATACTCATTTGAGTTACTTGAGGGACTTTGAACCTTTTAAAAATCTTTAAAAAAATTTTTGCTTCTTTGTATTTTCCTTCAGAAGTAAACTCAAACTCCTGTTGTTATTTCAATTTGGTGTAAATCTTCTGTAATTTTAGGGCTGTTCTTTGGAAATAATGTATCTTCATCTGCAGTATGTGCTTAGGAAACAGTTGTGACTGTAACACAGACAGTAAATTCCGACTGCTCATTTCCATGGCTGTTTATTCACCTGATGTGTCAGAGCATCAGTACCTTCATTAGTCACATGAACTTCAGCAATTCAAAAGATTCAAATGATACTTTAATGACAAAGAGTGAGCTTAAGCTTCCATTCAAACCCCTTGCCTCTGCACATTTTGGCTGGGCTCAGTTGATGCATCCCTACTCTGGTGTATCAGAATTTGGGTATCAGATTACCTTGTATTTAGACTTCTTTCTATGAAGAATTAAACAGTGTGTGCAATCATGTTACTTTTTTTCTTTCTTTTTTTTTTTTTATGCAGTTCTCCTTTTCCTAAGCTAAAGGAGTTTTGTTTTGTGTCTTCCTGGCAGCAGTAAATTTGCAAAGCTTCGACTGATAGAACAATGGCATTTTACCTGCTACTCCCCACATGAGGCATTCCCAGGCATTAATTATATGGGAATAGAGACCTTTGTGGACTAGAGCCATAAAGGGTAGTGAGAAATTGGACTAGCCAGTACCTGTCATGCTCATTCACTCTTCTCATTGTTTTCTTATACTTTGTCATCTGCTTGTACTTAAAAGTGCACTCTTAGGGGAGGGGCTGTCAGTCTCTTCTGCACAGGACCAGTTCTAACTTATTTTCAGGTAGACAGCAATATTTCTTTGTCATTGTTAATTAGAGCTTGGAGAGTTTCGAATGACTTGGTGAGTCTCCCAGTTTAAAAGGAAATCATACACACATGTGTATTTCAAATTTGCTTTTTTTTTTTTTTTTTTTTTGCCACTATTAAAGTCAGGGTGGAATAGGTTGTCCTTTAAGTTCTCTGGACTGTGCTTAGGTAGTGTCCAGTACAGTGTGGCTGTTGTCAAGCTTGGTCTCACTGGTATTTCAAGCCTGAAGGATGGAAGACTCCCCCAACTTCCCTGAAGAGAACATGTCAGAGGACTGCAAAGGAGCCAAAACAACTGGTAGGCCATAAAAAGAAAATTAATTTCATTTTACTTGTATTCGTGAGGCAGCTGGGAAACAGAAATACCCCTCAAACTTAGGAGACTTGTAGATACTTTCTTTTACTAAAGTTGGGGTTCAATCCATAACATAAGAGCTAAAACCTAACAATAACTTAAATTAATTGTTGAGAAAGCCAGTGTGCTGATTATGCTGAAAAGCTGACCATGTGAAAGCACACAGTGAGGACACCAAAGCATCCTAAGCTTGTTCCCATAGTGATACCCTGAAGGCAGAGTTTTCAGCCAGTCCATACATGGGAACCTGAGGAACCCAACACTGGAATGTTTTACTCAGAGTTGGGTAATAGCATTCCAAACTTTGCCATTCACATCCACACCCTCTCCAAAGGAAGAGAGAAAAAAGCTGACATAGAGACTCTAGGCCACTCCTCTGCAGTTTGCAAAGGAGTAGTGGCACTTCTGCTGTCTCTTTTCTACTGTCCAGAAACAAAACTTCCCCGTAAGGGTACTGTGAAACTGGAGCTCTCCTCCAGGGACAGCAGGCAGAGCAGGGAGCAGAGAGGAAGGAGAGCAGGTGCATGGTGCAGTGACTGTATTCCCACTGGCATTCAGAAGCTCTGGAGGAACTGTGTCTGCTTGACTGTCCCAGACTTCCTTAATTTTGGCTGACCTTACACAAGGCACGATCTTCAGTCACAACTGAGCACAGAGAACCCTCAAACCACCAGAGAACCCTGTTACAGATAAACAGAGTTTGAAATCCTGCTGCAGTTTGTCCTGATGTCAAAGTAATCTTTGTATCACACCTCACTCCTTAAAAAGTGTTACTTTTATTGACAAGTCAGTGGTTGAAATGTAATAAATACTAAACCAACCTTATCCATCACACACAATGGATCAATTGGCTTTTTGGCCTCAGGAAGTGTGTGAGCAAGTGACCACACTATTCACAGTCGTGCACACCAATCACCTGGATTGCAGTTCACAGTTTAAAGGATGTGATTACACACCACAGCTTAAATGGTGGCTTATGAAACTTCATCATGGGATTTCAGGTATATTGGCTTAGAAATCTTCCTTAACTTTTCCTGGTGTCGCAATGTACGGCCTTGTTTATGGGCAAGGCCCATAGGAGGCAGGTGGATCTGGAAAAGAAAACCCCACCAGTTAGGTGCATATTGGGAAGAAAAATACAGACTAAGTTTCACTGAGTTTTAAATCATTTCTTCACACTTTGGAGAGGGTCACTCTATTGTCTCAAGCCAGGTTATTAGATTTCTAGGAGGAGCACTCTCTGAGGAGTGATTAGTGGTGTAACTTTCAGAACTAATTGGTGGTGTAACTAAAACAGAACTAATTGTTCTGTTTATTAAAATCCCATATATTTTAGGCCTTAATAAAATCCTGTATATGCAAGGCCTTAGTAACTTTGTTTTGCAGCTTGGTATCAGACAGCAATGATACTTGATGAAATAGGAGTGCTGACAATGTTCCAGTAAGAACTAGAAACCCTAAAAATGCTTGAGTAATGTCTTGAATCACTGTGTGATTTATTCATACCTACTTAACAAGTTACAAAATAACTCCAAACTGTATGCACTGAAAGCCTGCCTTTTTACTGTCATGATTATATATATATATATATATGGCACATTAAAATGCACAATCAATGTCATTGACTCCATAAGCAGAAGGAGCATAGGTGACAGACTCTTCCTTTGACTGACAAAGTCTTTATATTCCATAAGACTGTTAGTGGGAATCATGCAGCTGTAACCCTGAAATGACTGAAAAATGTAGGTGGTAGAAGTCAGGTGTTACTGTTGCTGAGGCTGTCATCCTGTAAGATGGGTGTTTAGGTGCAAATAGTAGTAAAAGCACTGACTAAAACAGCAGTAGAGATTTCTAGAATCTGAAAAATAATAATCATCCCGTTTGTCTGAGAGAGCAGATCCTTTGGGATTTTGAAACCACTGCAGAGCACACATTTTAGGCCCATTTCTAGGAACATTGTTTGCCAGCTGAGCATTGCTATTCTGCATACTGAAACAGATGGTAACAGTGACCTTAGTCTAGGCATGCATCTGACAAAGATACAATTTAATTTTGACCATGACTGCCTTGATAAGGGAACTACAGATGTGAAAATATCAACTCATCAACAGCAGTGGAGAGGATCCCTCTATGGGAGGCAGCATAAAGTATTACTGACAGAAGTGACTGGGCAGTGAGGAATCTGTACTGAATGGTGCACTAGAAAACTCTGCTGCAAATTCCAGCATTTCAGTAATCTTGGACAGTATTTCAGCAATCTTGGGCATGTTCTTCTGTAGGAAGAAGGGAAAAGAAGCAGCAACACAGACAGCTATTTCATGAGGCCTGATTTGTGACCAGAACAGTTAACAGTAATGTAGGCTATAAAAATTATTGTACCTATGGCAGATGTAATTAGGAATTTTTATTCTCTCTCTCTCTTCTATTATTTGATTCCATTACCATGTTTCTGTATATTCATTAGTTGGCTAAATATTCAGAGGCCCTTGGAGTTTAGTTCATACAACTCCTTTTAAGCTTTGACTCCTCATTTTGAGAAGAAATTCTCCAATTTACAGTGAAAGATAGAGAACATCTCAATGTACATTTGGCTGTGCTTTAGCATACATTTAAATGCCAGCTCATCTTAAAATGCAGTGCAGTGAGAGTGATGGAAACTGATGGTTTTGTTGTACAGGGAGAGCTCAGCAGGTATCAGTGAAGACTTTGTGATTTATACTCACGGGTCTCGGGTAGGGGATGTTATAGTGAAGCCCAATTTCTATTCTTGCCTCACATTCTTCTATGCATTGCTTAATCAGCTTTGGATCTGTTACCTGTGACGATCAGACAAACAAGTGTTTTATATGAGTTCAGTAATTAGCAATTGGAAGCTCAAGTGTAAATGATGCTCAGCACATGGCTTTCCTTAGCTTATTTTGGCAAACTCAAGGATACAATGAATTGTATTTTTCACACCCATAAAAGGTAACACTGGTATTTTCCTGGACTCAGCAGCTCTGGGCTTGATGGTGCTGAATGTTAACGCCCAAAGGCTGTCAGGACTGAGGCTACAGAAGGAGTTTTTTACCCAAACATGGTATTTTCTCTGTAAAAAGACAATACACACGTAAACTACTACAACTACATCTATGAAAAAACCACACTCATCTGTTCATCACTCTGCAAGGTTACCAGTGGAGAAAGGAAAGACACTGCTTGGTGTACATTCTGTTATCATCCTATCCAGAAACTCTCTTTGAAGTGAGAAATGTGGTGTGAATTATGACTTAAATTCATTTTTTTGATTTTGCATTACTTCACTTTAGACCCAGACCAATATGGGATATAAATAAGTGTTGTGATCTTGAATTACAAGAAGGGCCTTTGATTACCAGGGTTTGAAATTTCTTCCTTAAGAAAAAAATTAAAGTGCTTCTTTTAAAAGAAGTGCCAATAATTGCTGCTTTGAAAAGAAAAAAAAAAGAAGCTGCTGAGTTCTGTTTGCCATTGCAAGGGTAATGATACACTTAGCTAACTTTGTAAAGATCAAAAGCTGCTTCAATTACACAAGCAGTATCTTTGGAATTTAATTTTTTCTTGGCACTTTTTTACTGAAAAAAGACCTTTTAGACTTTTACAGTAGTTAATGAAGAGCTGAAATGATTTGAAGTTTTCTCAGGGATGATATTTAAACTGTAACCCAAATACACCAGCATTTAAGGTGAATGAAATTTTGGGAACTCAACACTTACATTCCTATCTCATCATCCAACCACAGAGTGCAAAGAGCAAGAGAAGAGTAATTTGGAAATTCAACACCATGAGGACACTCACATTTCTGTTTTTCCGGAATAACGTTCTGGCTTCATTTCTAATGTACTCTTTCTCTCTCATGGTTTCCTCTGTCTGTCCTGACGCCGACTGCCAGGTTTTGGCTATTCGCAAAACCTTGCGGTAAAGGCCGAGAACTTCTTGTCGAGTTGCTGGTGTCATCTAAAAAGACAAGACAGACCCCCAACACATGCATGAACATTTGAGTTGCCAAAAGGTCAGCAAGCAGGACATTTGTTGACACCATTAAATTAGTTTTAAAATATTTCCGCCGTCCAAAGATATGCTGAGCTGCATGAAAAAACCCTGAAATAGCTGTAGACAATAATTAGCTGTTGAAAGTTGAAGACTCCGTCCAGCAAAGTATTTATATAGATACTTAAATCTATCTCCATTCAAACAGCTTGAGCTCTTGCTCCAAGTTAAGCACTTGGTTTAGTGCTTTGCTAAATCAAGCCTGGTACAAGAATGCCTGGGTTCTGTTTCACTGATGTTTTGCAACAGACATTGGGCAAGTCACCGAAACTCTACGTGTCCCCCTTCCTGAGACATTGTTGTACCAATGCTGACCCTATCTTTGCAAATCTGTGAATGAAATACATGATAAAACCAGCACAATATTGTTGAAAACTTGTATAGGCTCCAGGGGCTGAGAGCCTTATTTGTGATACCATGGCAGTAATGATTCAGCTGGAGTTTGATGTGATGAAAAGGTGATGAAAGCTATTTTATCTAAGCACTCAGGAGAGGCAGACTAACTGTGGATTTAGGAAAGTCCTGAATGTCTTGATTTTCAGAGCTGTGTACCTGCTGAGCCCACTGAATCAGCCTCCAGGTGTGATAAGACTATTTGTCAGAAGAAAGAATGAAATCTTATTCTTGCTTTATGTAAATGAGTATTTTATCATGTAACTGGTTACACTATTTCATGACAGACCACAAATATCCCTGAGACAAATCCACTTCTGGATAACAAAATTTCATGTCATGAATTAAATTAACAGAAACAATGACTTCTGCTTAAGGGGCACTGCAGCTGTCGAAGGTACCTTACTGTCCCAAAGGAAGGTGCAGCAGCACTGCCAAGTAAATACATGGATACAATGAGGAACAAGTGTCAGGGACAGGACATTATCTGACTATCAGGATCCATTTGCCAACCTGGAGCTCTAATTACTGTGGGTGAATCTACCCTGAAATCAGACCTGTGTGCTGGGAATGGACAGTTTGGAGCAGAGTAATTCAGACAGCCTGACCTTCCCCCTGGAGGGAGCACACTTGGCCATGAGGAAAAGCTGCATCCTAATGCAGCACCCAAACTACCATAGGAAGTTTGGCAGTGTGCTGTGGCTCAAATCCCTGCAGTCTGTGGCAATTCCTGGGATTCTGGGTTTTAAAAGAGGGGCTAGAGCCAAAGGCTTCTCAGGCTGTACTGTTCTTGAGCTCCAGCACAGTGGCTGACCAGAACCAGCCTCCTGTGGCTCCAGACACTCACACCCTCTTTCCCTCACCAAAGTTGGAATTACAGATACTAACCTGAACACAGGATTTGGCTCATGTTTGGGTTTTTTTTTCATAAGAAATCCTGAACTATAAATTCCTAGCCTTATCTTAGCTGTTGCTGTCATCTAAAGGCCTTTCATGGTTTCAAGAACTATTTTTCTCTGATTCTTAAGAGTGAATATTTTTGTTTTGCTATTTGTATTTTAACATGTTTAACCAATCATATATTTTTCCCCCAGATAGAAAATTATTTTCCTACACAGCAGAAAGTACTTCTAGTAAGTGTTTATGGTATTTCTAGGAAATGAATTCCACTATAACTAGGTAGTCCCAGCTCATCAAACAGTTTGGAGTAAGTGCTTAACTTTATCCACTTTAGAGATCCATTTTAGGCAGTGAAATCAGTCAGACACAAAGGCAAAGATGTACATGTATCTGAAAAATCACTGCTTCCCCCTGCTAGGTGCATATTTTGTACAGAAAAGAAACAGTTCAGTTACAAGGGTTAACCCAGCACAAGCAGAGTCCCGAATCCTGGCCTCACCTAGAGCCTCTCCTGACATCCCTCCTCTGCTTTTATCTGAAGGTGTCACCTCTGAGAAGCTGTTAACAGGTTAGATTTTCATGTAATCCATAGAGAAAATAAAAGGAACAATGTTTGGGGTAAAAAATGTTTAAAATACAGGTTTCAATTCTGATCTATGCATCAGACAATTTCCAAAGTGATAGCTTGGGACAACACATGCCCTTTGTTCAGAGCTGGCTACACCTGCTGCCCTTGGATTTTAAACATACCAAGAATCTGTTTAGAAAGATTTTATTGAAAAGTCTAGAACCAACAATTATTTTCCCCACTAGCTGCTTCCCCTCCCTCACCTACAACTTACTCTTTTGTTCTTTAACTCCTCTGTGCTGGAATTGCTACAGAACTGTGTAGCCCCTGATCTAGGCATGGGCTGCACTTCTGCATTCTTGCTCTCCTTCCCACATATGCTGGATGATGTAAAAGACATTAAGCAGCTATTCATCTATACTCAGCAACCAGCTGCTCCCAGGGCTCATTCAGTCAATAATTCTTATCATTACAAACCTGCTCATAAGCCATTTCTGCAGAGATACATAAATGAAGGTATGAGGAGCCCTTTACAGATCGAGGACTTCTGTCTATGACAAAAAAGGATGAGAGCAAATAAGACAAAATTCAAAGCCTGGGTCAGATTCTGATCTGAGTGGGAGTATAAATAGGGAGTAATTCCAGTGAGAGCAAAATTACTTCCAACTTAAAATGTTGTAAATGAGATTGGAATTTTTTCTTTGGTATAAACAGAGCCCACACTGACAGAAATGTAAGTGATGGTACAAGTCATGTATCAGGTGCAATTTCATCAAGTGACACTACTTGTATTAGTTTTGTGGGTGTGCAAAATGATTCTGAGTGGGATAGAAAGGAAGATAAGGGAGGCTTTCATGTCCTTGTAGTTACTCATCTTGCAACTTACATCTTTGGCATTTAAATCATAATTATATTTCACATCTCTGGAATGCTAAGTGGATGTTACACCACTTTTCCACTAACACCCATCTTGTGGTAGTCACACCCATTGTTTAACTTCTACCACCCTTCATTTTACTGCAGCACGCAGCCCACAGAGGTTAACCACAGGCGTTTCTGTCAAAAAGCACAGGGCTATTGTATTAGCTGAGCAAATTTCGGGTGTTTAGTGCCACAAAGCAAACCGGGAGAAGTCACAGGAAGGTGTGCCCGCACAGCCGAGTCGGTGGGGAAGAGCGGAGGTCGCAGCTGGGAGCCCAGTGCTGGAAGCCGGGCTCTGGAGGGAAGCCAAGCGCTGCCTCCGAAGGAGCCCTGCTGGCTGCTGGGCAGAGCCGACAGCCCCTTCTTATCAACACACACCTCAAGCACCTGAAACATCCCACTGCACCCAAACTCCAAAGGACATCTGAGCACTTAATGACTTACTGCAGGGTGAACATGCAGACTTTTTTCACTGTTAATTGAAACAAACAGTCTCTTAAGACTATAAAATGCAGTAGGTTTTTCTTTCAGGAAACAAGTAGACATTCCTTTGGATTGTTAGATGGTTGACCCAAAAGTTCAATAATCTGAATAATCAATGAAACACCAGTCTTATTTTGCTATTTGCGTGCTTGCCTAGAATTTAAACTAAAAGTTCATATAAAAATAATAAAAGGAATCTGCGAACTGCACTATCCAATGACCCCAAGAGTGCAGTGTCAAAGCACAGCTAGGACAGAGGCTGCACCAAGACTGACTGCAGATCCAGGAGCACCTAAACCTCAGCTGCTTCCCAGCAGGGGATGCTTGGCTGGGAACACATGTCCAGCACTCTCCTCCTCTGCACAGCTCCTTGGTGAAGTTGTAAGTCTATTTTATTTCATCCTTTCTTCTCAAGTCAAGGATTAGCTACTCACTTTAAGCATAAAATCTGCCAGCAGTGAGTACATAGAGGATTTTAGAAAATACAGGTTGAAAGGAAGAACCCATGGGGGGAAAAGGGTATTTTAAAACAATTGATCTCTTCTTTCACATCCCAGCTAACTGGGGCACACGTTAGTAACACACACCTTGTGCTGGTGCTGAAAATGGATTTGCTCAGGGGAGGTGGGGAACAAAATCCTGCATGAAATAATTTGAAAAGGCAGCTTTGAACTTCTCAGATACAAAATGTTTTATTTAGCAGCATCACAACTTCTATTTGACAGCTGGTTTGCTACTGGCAAGAAGTCTAAAGACACAGTGACAAACTGCTAGGCTGACTGCTTCCAAACAAAGCTGTGGTCACATCTCTGTTATGAAGTAAATGATGTCATTCGAGACCACGGTGTATCAACACTGTAGTGGGGAACACCACCATATTCCATACTATGTGTCCATAAAACAATCCAGCCTGTATGCCAATCTACAGCTCCTATTTTCAAATGCCCTCTTTGGCTAATGTTTATTTAAAGAGATGCAAAAAAATTCCCATATCTGGGGTTTTTTTAAGGGGCTAAACAATGCCACTTAGCTAAAAAGTGGCCTGCAGTCTCTCTCCTGCTGCTAATGCAGCAGATAATCAATCATTCCTTTCAGAGCTCTCCACAGCAACAAGAGGTCAGTAATCCATATTCATCTTTCATGCAAGTCTGCCACAATGAGTCTGTGGTTCCTAAGGCAGCAGTGGATTTGGGCTGTCATTTCCTTGAGGCCAACAACTGAGACAATGAGTTCCTGTGGCACAGGGGCAGAGAAGGGGTCACAGATTCCTGTGATAGCTGGATAGGTCACATGCCTTCCAGCAATATTAAGTTTCAAAATCTAGTTTTCCACAGAAGTAATTTTGCCTTCTTTTACTCAAATCAATGACTCAGTGGCCTGTGACAGTAGCCTGCAAATGCTGACCACATGTGGCTGCAGAATGTACTGGCAAAATGAAAATTTCATTTGATTTTCATTCTTGATTGAACATTCATAACTGTTTTTAAAGATTCAGACAAAACCAAATCCTAGCAAAACCTCAATCACAGCTAAAGTATTCCATCTCCACATGGTGAAAAATGACTAGAATGAAAGATCATGTTCTTCCATGATGGTGTTACATCCTCATTTCTACCAGTGCCACAAGCCTTAAATTTCCAGACATTCCCATCAATTTGACTCAAAGATTTATTTCTCACTCTTTCCATCTACAAGCTGCAATCATAAATATATGCAGATTTGGTGAAAAAGAATGAAGTTACTGAACCAAGATATTCTGTAATGGTCTCTAAAAGCAGGGTGACTTTCACACAGGGTTTAGGATTTTGTCATGCCAGTGTCTTTCTGCTGGCAAACTGAAGTGATCTGAAACCTTGATCAACACCTCTGAACCAAACTCCCTAAGTCATTGTACTCACATTGTTCATCAACTGGGATGGGAACTCTGCTGTTCTATCTGTACCTCAGATTTCTGACTGAACTTGGATCTCTTTTAAGCTTCCTTTTGCATATGGAGCAGTCTTTTGATCAGAAAAAGCAAACTGCATGCAAAGAGAATATAATTAAATAGTAAAAGCAAGGACATGGATTTTTATCAGCTTGAAAACTGACATAGTCAGTTCAAATAAGCCAATTTGCACAAAATTAAGGTTATACAAAATTTTTTTCACTTGAATAAATGAAGGTGGCAACCCTTAACTAGTTGCTTTTGATCACTGGGTTTTCATTCTCTCTGAGGTGGTCGAAGCATTATCTGGTTTTAGTAGGACATACAGACTTGCCCTGGGAGTGCTTCTTGTGATGCAGGAACCTCAGGAAGAACAGAAATGCTGACTTAGACTGTGGGAAGGGGGGAGGGAAATAAAAAAAATTGCTTTACTTATTTTTTAGCTTTCTCAAGAAAAGCACGCAGTGTCCAGGTAAACTCTAAAGCAATAGGAACTCATCTCCAGTCTTGTCCAACTCTGTTGTTCATGCTTTCAATACCATTTTCTTTTCCTGTGTGTTTAGTTCTCTATTACTTACAAGCAGAGAAAGATTTTAATGCAGAGTGAGAAATTTAGCAGAGAAAATGAATTCTCAGCTATCCTTGGATGGCCTTGCTTATATAATATAGAAGCATACAGAAATATAACAACACAGACACAAGCTCCAGTATAGATTTATGCACCTTATTCATACCTTGGCTTCCAGCCAAATGCAACTGAATGCCTGAATAGAAATATTTCCCAGCACTGGAAATGTTCCCAAGCTCGAGAACAGGTATAAATATTAATGCTAGCAGAGACAAAATCCTCCCTGACCCTTTTCTTACTTGATTCTGAGGGTCACTCAATGAAACTCATAGACAGACCTGTTTTTTAGTTGCTATTTGAGAACCACAGCACGGCTGTGGGCATGGAGGGCTGTGGGACACAGAATCAGGTGAGCTAGAAAAGAACTCTGAGCACACCAAGTCCCGTGTGTGACCAAACACCACCCTGTCAACCAGACCACGTCCAGGCTTTCCTTGACACCTCCAGGGATGGTGACTCCAGCGCCAAACTGGGCAGCCCATTCCCACATCTAATCACCCTTTCTGTGATGTTCTTCTCATGTCCAACCTAAACCTCCGTTGGCGCAGCTTAAGATGCTGCCTTCTGCTCCTGTGGGTCACTGAGCACTGTGGGTCACTGAGCACTGTGGGCACTGTGGGCGGATGAAGGCTCAGGGCACCGAGGCCTGAGGACATTGAGCACTGTGGGCACTGGGGCTTGGAGTGCTGTGTGTCACAGACCGCTGTGGTCACTGAGCCCTGTGGATCAGACCGCTGTGGGTCACACACCGCTGTGGGTCAGAGACCACTGTGGGTCACAGTGCTGTGCGTCACACACCGCTGTGGGTCACTGAGCCCTGTAGGTCACACACTGCTGCGGCTCAGTGAGCCCTGTGGGTCACACACCGCTGTGGGTCACAGACCGCTGCAGCTCAGTGAGCCCTGTGGGTCACAGACCGCTGCGGCTCAGTGAGCCCTGTGGGTCACACACCGCTGTGGCTCAGTCAGCCCTGCCCACACCGGACGCCCCCACAGCCGCTGCCACAGTCAAGATGGCGCTGCCGCCCCCCATGGCCTGGAACCGCGCGGCCACTGGGGGGCGATGTCGGTCTGGGGGACGTCCTTGCGCTCCCTGGCGGCCGGGGCGGCCTTGCCCCGGCAGCCGGGCGTAACCAACGCGCAAAGGAGACGGGGGGGGGTGTCGGCCCACCGCCCGCGCCTCCAGCCTCTCCCCTCCCTCCGCCCTCTCCGCGTGTACGCCCGCCTTCCCCCCCTCCCCGCTTTACCTTGGTGCAGTCGTGCCGCGGCCCCGCCCCGCCGGGTGCCCCCGCTCCGGTGGGCGCGGGAGGCGCGAGCCGCCGCCTTCCCTGCCCTCACCGCGCGTGCGGCTTCGCGCGCCCCGCCCTCCACGCGGTACGTCACGGGACGTCACGGCGCGTCCGCCAGCTGAGCGCTCGCCCGGAAGTGATGCGGTGGAGGCAGAGCCGCTGGGCGCCGCGGAGGTGAGTGAATTGGACCGAAGCTCTTCCCGTCCGCCCGGGCTGCGGGGGAGCGGCGGGGGCGGCGCGGGGCTCGGCCCGGCTCGGCACGGCCCGGGAGACGGCGCGGGCGGCGAGGTTCGTCCGTGCCCGCCGCGCTGCTCTCAGCCCCGCCAGGGCCGGTTGTGCTCGGGGGGCCCCGCGCCGCCGCCCCCTCACGTCAGGGCCCCCCGAGCCGCAGCCCTGCAGCGCCGGACAGCCGCGGGGAGCGGCCGGACAGGCGCTGCCCCGCTGCCCGGTCCCGGCCGGGCGCTGCTCGGGGGTGCCGGTGGGCTCCGGTGCCGCCGGGCCGTGCCCACCCCGCTGATCCCCGTGCCCGAGCCGCGGTGCTGCCTCGCCCCGGGGTTTGGCTCTCCTGGGTTTTTCCGTTCCGGTGTGCGCCGTCTGCGGGCTCGCAGAGCGTCCCTTGGGTGGTCGCTGCGGGCGGCCCCGCAGCCCCCGGGCCGGGGGAGCGGCTGCTTTGTTCGGGTGCGCTTCGTGCCCAGCCTGCTCACGTGTCCCGCTGCAACGTGAATGTTCGACGTGTTTTCAGGAGAAATACAGAAATAAACTGTGAAGCGATTTATTGCCTAGGTAGTTCTCGCCGTCTGAACATACCCCCTTTGCACAGCCACTTCTTTTTCCTGCTTCAGCTCTCCCTCCCTCCCCTGAGCGTGTTTACCCTTCCTGTGCAAGCTGCAATCTGCATTAATCACTCTCTGGGGCTGTGGTGGTACTAATAAGCTACTCATAACAACTTAAATTGTAACTTGCATAATCAGTGTTTTGAGCAAATATTGGTTGGAAGAATGTGCCTGTCCTATCAGTGCTGTGGTTGCTGGAAAGAATCATTGATTATCTTTTAAATAGTTAACACTGCTGATATGCTGCCCTTCAAAATGTTACATTGATAACTGAGCAGGCTGATGCCAAGTGTCAGAACACAGCATTGATCCACAGCTGGTAACTTTTTTTGAATGACAGTGTCTGTCACATAATTTAAAGGGGTAATGAGTTAAGTGCTCTGAAAAGAAAGGGGCCATAGCTGTACAAACAGAAAGCACAGGGCTGCTCTACCTTTTTGAAAATTATAGGTCTCACTGGCACGGTCTGTATGTTTTTGAGAGAACAGTTGACCAAAAGACGTTATTTAAACAAATTCTTACGTGTTTAAAAACCTCTTTGTTAAACAGTTTACGTGTAGCTACAGTATTAGTGCTTTATTTGGGCTACGGCAATAGGAAGAGAGAGTGTCTGAGTACTTGTGTCCCTTGCCTGCATCTGAACACTGCTGCATGTCTCCCTGGTGAAAGATAATCCTCAGAAAAGGAAACGCAGTCCCTTAGTTAAGATTGCATGTGAAAGTAAAGAGATCTCACCCCATGTTCTTGTCAGTTCTGTAGTCTGTCCTCAAAGTCTCCCCCACACAGGTGTGTCGTGGTGGTCTGTGGAAAACATTCACTTTTACATGACAGGCAGCTCGCAGTCTAAAGCAAAGCTTTTCTGCACATCAGCAGAAAAAGGAGAGCTTGTGATCTGTGTTGAATTAGTTCAGATTAGCAAAGTGCAACTGGCTTTACAAACTTACTGCAAATACCGGCTCTTGTAATGATTTTTAAAACTCAGATTATTTCCTAATAGCAAGTTGTATGTAGGCATGAATACTGTAATTCTGTAAAAAAAAAAAAAAAAAAGTAACTAATAACAGGGGAATTACAGCTTTGGTACTACTTGGCTGCTTTCTTTGTGAGACTGACAGCCTGCAATATGAGCTGTAATCAGCTCGTGTAATCAGGAGCTTCAAGGCTGCATTAGGTGCTTTTCCTGCCCAGATTCTTGCTTTATTTTGAGGTTGAATGTTGTGTTCACAGCAAATTCTCAATTATTTTTGTCAGTAGTTCTTATAATTTGTTGGTCTTGGAAGTTCGTTAATAATTACATCTTGCTTCCATTTAGCATGAATTGTGTTGAAAAAAGACAATCAGATGAAGGAGTGGCTTTGAGAGAAAACTAAGAACAGCTCTTTTGGAAGACCCTCTTTTAAATTAATTGAAGAAGTATATATTGAGCAAGAAGGGCTGCTAGACAGTTTGACAGACTTCTGAGGTGTGTTCTGAGAAATTTGTGTGTGGATGAGGAAGAGGCTTGGTTCTGCTGCTTGCTTTGGTTCAGCTTAAGGACCAGGAAGAAATCCTCTGTGTTGGGTATGTGTATGGGGGCAGTGGGGTATAAGGCAGATGGAAAGGGGATGGAAGAAAAGGAACAGACATGGCTTCTGCATTTCCTCATGGCACAAAGGAATGCACAGAGGGTTTGGATACAGAGATCATGGCTGCAGGTCGGGAGCAGTGAGAGTGCCCCAGCACCGCTCAGATCTGTCCCACACTGAAGCACTTGATTTTCTTTACTGGTGCCAGGGAAACATTGTTAAATTTAATTTAGAGCCTTGGAGCACTATAAAATCCATCATGATGGGGTTTTGGCAGTTTGTAAGAACTTGCAAATTGCAGAAACAATGTTATTGTTCCATTAGGCACTTGGGTCTGTATGTGAATGTAACAGGAAAACTCTGCTCTGAGTAAGAAGAGACTATAAAAATAGAAGCATGGGATATTAGAAAAATTTATCCTCAAAACTACAGAAGGAGCTGAATATTGGTAGCCAGAATTCTTGGAAGGCTGAGAGAACAATCTATAAACACTCGAGGGACTTGGTAGTCACAGGAAGATAAGGGGGAACCCCCTTAACAGTTTCATCAGAATTCCCTGGCTGGGCTCCTTCTCTTTGGCTGCTTCTCCCTAGGGGTCTGCATCTTATCTCACTGGCTTCCTTTCCTCTATTTGCCTCTGACTAATGGGCTTTGTCTTCTGGTTACTGGAAGTCTAATAAGTTCTTTTGTCTCTTAACCCTTCCTCCTTTTTAAAAATACTAGATTAATGGCTGTAATGTTTTGCAGACTATCTGCATTGGTGACATGGATTAATTGTGTGCTTGACTCTTAAGTTACCCAGCAGTAATGACGTAGTAACTTGACTTGAAACAATGGTAATTTCATGGCAAATGTTCAAGGCAAATGTTGCCTTCTGGTAAAGTGCCAGCTGCAATTTACCCCCTGTAAACATGTGGCAGGAGTAAACTGGCTGTGCAGTTTTTCTCGGTGTCTTCTGTACAGTGAGTTGTCTTGAGTGTGTCTTTTGAAACAGTCAGTGATCTCTCCTTTCTCCTCCCCCCCTTTCTTTTGACTCCCGCTTGAGTCAGGTAATTACAGATCTGGGTTGAAACCTTCCCAGGGAGTGATCAGGAAAGCCAAGACTTGCAGACCTGCTCCCATTGCTCACTGGCACCTTGGCTTCCCCCTTCCCTGAGGAGGGTTTGTGGCTCCACTGGGCTCTCGGCACTGGGCTGTGGGTGAGTGAACTGGAGAGCCCCAGGCAGGTGGGGGGTGGCAAAGCCAAGGGGAGCTGTGATTTCCCCTGCACAAGTGCCAGCGTTCTTTGTGGTGACATGAGGACGTTCTCCTTGTCACAGGTGGCTTTGGTGTGATATATATTCTGATCTCAGTGCTGACCATAACAGAGCAAATAAGGAATCAAAGCCTCTTGCCTAAAAGATAATCTGACAACTGACTCATTTAGGTCTCCATTTTATCCTTATGTCTTGTGGGGCAGCTCTCTGGTCCAATGATCTGCATCTAAAGGAAGCAGATCTTGGATTTTAGTTAAAGGTTATTAAATTGCAATATTTTGCTGCTAGAAGAATGACAGTTAGGGAGCTACTTAGATGTAAGTATTGAAGAACCCTTTCACAGAAGTAGGAATCCTGTAGAGAAACCAACTAAAGCATAGGTGGTGAGACAGGATTCCAGTAAAGAGAGTAAGCTAGTATAATCTTCTGGAGTCTCAGAAAGAATAGTTATAAATGCTGTTCTGTCTACAGCATCTGTTTTGTGAAAGACAAAACTTAGTTTGCAAAATGTGAGAATGCTGTTCCTGACCTCCTGTCACAATTTGTTATTCCCACAAAGTCAGACTGCCAGAGACAGTATGACAGTCATAGTTGTTTGTTGTCTCACTTTTCCTGTTTAGTGAACAGAAGTGGGTTTTTTTTGAACCAAAAGGATTATCTGCTCCTGAAATACACCAGTCTTATTTTTGCATCCATGTAGTAGCAGAAAGTGATGGTTTTCAGTTTTTTCTTTGAATTTTTTTTTTTTGTGTGATGCTTTTCCTCCTGCAGCTTTGGAACTTGTAATGTAGTCAGTCTTATCCTTTTGTTTTAAAATGGAAAGGGAGGGAGAAAATCATCTTAGCACCTATGATTATGGGAGGCACGTGTAGCTTAGTAATAGACTCACAAACACAAATGTCCTAGCTCTTGGTTTTGGTCATATGCTGACTGTTCAATATTTTCTTTGCCAATGAATCTGTACAGAAAGCCTTGAGTATTCTGGATCAGCATATAAATGGGTGGCCTGGAGTGCCAAAGGTCTGATGTGTTCCAGCTTCCAGCAGTTACCTGTGCTTGGAGTTAGTGATTATGTCTCATGAAGCACAGGACAGATACCTACACGCCTGATCTCTTGTGGGCACAGGATGGCAAGAGAAATCAAGAGTATGTGAAAACTTATGAAAAAAAGGTTTTTGTTAGTTGAAGCTGCCATCAGATTTCTCAAGGAGAGGTGAGAGTCTTTGTTACAACTGATGACCAAGTTTGAGTACTGGAAGGAGCTCCTTTGTAGCTACTGATACAGTTAGCATCAAAATACTGCAGCATCCTTTGTACAGTAGGAAATGTTGGTATTGTTCACTGAAATAGGGAAGTTGCAAATCAAGTCAGGAGAGAGAATTAGGGCTTCTGCAGGTGGCTGTGTGTATTTTCTGCTTTAGAAACTGCAGTCAGTTTA